TAGCCTTCATGGCAGACAAAACATGCAGAGAGATACCTTTTGAGGTGTTTGTCAGCACCGTTCCAATTTAAAGAACAGGGGCGTTTAATATTTCATGGGTGAAACAACTTCAAGTCGAGTTTAAAATCTGGTTACAATTGTGTCTTGCTTTGAGTCCCCCAATAGACACAAACCGCATTTATTTGATTCTTTCAGTGAAAATCATCTCTGCACACCAATTTACCCAAAGTAATGAGGGCTGCTCTTTAGGGTCAAACAGGACATCTAAAAACCTTTAGCAGAGAAGTCAACAAGGTAAATAGTGGCGTCGCACAGCACATAGCAAAGCAGAGAAGGGCGTTGCGTATAGCTTGGAGACCCCATTACCAAGTCAAGGGGCTTTTTCCATACCTCCAAATGTGAATGGAGTCCCACGGGGCAGTTAACATGACGGCACCCCAGGTAGAGGCGGGGGCTTCATGGATGGGCTCGCAGTCTCAGCAAAGACAATCAGAGACAAGAGGAGAGCAAACAGGCTGCAGAGAAACGCTCAGCATGACACTGCCACATGTGGTGTAAACAATGCAGGAATTCCAAATTTCTCTGTCTATCTATGCTTTCATGTGACAATGGCCCACAATATTTACCTTAACAATGAACAGATCTCCATATAATCACATTAAATACATCATAGTATCATAGTTTTCATAGGGTTAAGATCGGAGTATCAGTTTTTGACAAATGTATCCCAAATCAATACAACAAAGGCTTCTAATAGCAATAACAATAAGGACGTGTTAACGTCCTTGGCACACCACAGCACGTAAGAAGGTTTTTTTTTTGCGTCCAACTTAACTTTAGCCTCAACGGGTCTGCGTGGTATAGCTTTATTTCCATTACCTAGCAGCCTATTCTGACTTGCAGCATATGAAGAACTGAGGCTTGGTAAGTGCCCCTCGAGGTCTGATACTCAGGTCTGTACTAGACACAATGCATGGGTTTCAGCTAACTTCACTGTTCATAAATCTCATAATAACTGATGTAGTATAAAGTAAAACATCTGCTGAGGGAGGGAGTCAGGGTGGAGGGTTGGATGTGGAAGTGATCATGGAAACTTAACTAATGCAACAAACATACTTATTTTAACTAAGAACCAGATTCTTATCCTGAACCTTACCAAGCATACATGTACAGAGAAAACCTGAACTGTGAAAACATAGAGCCAGGACTAAAAAGATGTGGCCATAACTGTGTTTGTTTTGTTGTTTATACCAACGAGGTATAAACATATCAAGGTGAACTAGCTTCTATACAGCTACGATGGAGTTTGTTTCCAAGGCACTGACGCCTGAACGTCACGTCTCTAATCAAAGTGTTATATTTTTGCCGGAGTTGAACAATTATCTACGAAAGAATCCAGAGGAAACAGGGACTGAGGTTGGCAGCGTGCATGGTTGCAGATGCGTCACCATACTCTCTGTTCTATTTCATTTTGTGTCATTTTGCTCTTTTCTACACTGTGACAACCCCTTTTTTCCTGTGAAGGGAAATTACATTTCAGAGAGGTATGAGTCCATCTCTACTTTAGAACTAAGCAATGCAAGCTAAAGATTCAGTGCAAAAACTTTTCTTCTTTCTTTCTTTCTTTTTCTTCTTTTTAGTTTCAACGCAAGACATTGATCCCCCTCAAACCCCGCCGAGACACACACACACACACTTTTGCAATGAAATGGGAGGCAGCATAACCCGAGATCAGTGTTGGACCTCTGCAATGCTCTGTGGGCCGACAGCAGACCAGCGATCAGCTGGTTTTGCGTCACTTTTGAATTCGGCTTTGTGATGTGTCACTCTGGCCCTGCTCCTCACTCCCCTCTCTGTGAGCCCAAATCCCTTCCGTCTCGCACGAGCTAACAGCATGGTAATGAGACGGTGGCAGATGCTCGCGTGCCTTTACAATCCTCCCAACCCCCCGACGCACGCCAAGACCCCCATTCTGCCTGGAAGATGGAGAGGTGCGGAATTATGACTATTTATTTGAACTGTTCTGGAATAGTGCTTTCAATATCTTTGTTCTCCATTTTTTTTCTCAGCCTTTTTTTTCACTCCGTCCGTGACTGTTGATAGCATTTGCTCATTTCATACTTGATTCATTCTTGATGTGATATCTGAATTGGAAACTGGAAAAATTCGATGAGAGGGATGAATGTCAGGGAACAACGTATATTCCCATGTTATTAAAAAAACAAAGTAGTAAACTCCATTACCGCTCCCAGCCTCCACACCCTTCCCCCGTCCTCTGCGCACTGATTGTCCAAGGGGAGGGAGGGTCCCCCGCACCGCCCTCTCTCCACCTGCTACGCAGCCTTTGTCTTCAGGATCCTCTGCTTCATTTCAATGACAAAGTTTCCCAGGCCGTCGCCACATCCCCCACAACCCCACACACCCGGACCCCTGACTCTTTTCAGTTGTTTAAAGGTCCCCAAGGACAAAATATATCTGCATCTACAACATCAGCCACCCAGTAACCCTCCCTCCACCTGGCCTCAGCAGCCTCTTCTGCCCTATATGAGTGAAACATGTGACTATGTATAGTAACAGTGAGGCTATTTGAATCTTCCCAGTATCATCACATACAGTGAAGTCCTGTCGTGCAGCTCTGATGGGATTCTTCTTTATGCTTTTGCGGTAAAAGTGGGATTTGCGAATTCACAAGTAATGCCATAAGGGCACAATGAGCTCCTCACCGGGTATTGGGTGTAGCAGCAACGTTGTTATATGTCATGGGAGACATGATGTGCTCCATAGACAGGCTGGGGGACCATAGCTGCTCTTTCGAGAAACACCACAGTGAGAACTTGAGCACCGTGCGTAATAGCTGTCAATGCGTAACCAGCGATGAAAAAACTAAAGAGGGTGGAGTTCAGTAAGGATGCAAACCCACTCTCAATTAATACAGAGGCTCAATGTGAGTTTCAAATATATGAATACGGCAGCATGGCTCAGAACACTGATGTCTCTTAGCATTTTTGATTCAGATCTTTGACCATAACAAAAATCAAAACATTCATTTATTAGTTTATCCTCAAATCAGTTGAGGAAATTAACTCATTAAAGTAATATTAAGAAGATATGATGGACATTGTAAACTAACTATATTTAAACCATGCATAGAATAGACGTTACCCTTGTGTAGCCATCCGGCATCACTGTGTGTGTGTGTGTGTGTGTGTGTGTGTGTGTGTGTGTCCATCAGCTGTGGAGTCGATGTCCATGTGTTTGCTCAAAGGCAGATGGCGGCACAGAGAGTCTGTTCCCACGGGTCACACATAGGAATTTAAAATGCAGATAAAATCCATCACAGAGCCGCATCCTCTCAAAGATGGCAGTAGCTTCAGATGATTTGCTATCTTGAAACCAATCACCGCTGCGGCTCGCGCTCCCAAATTAAGCTTATTGATAATAGAAGGCTGCACAGAAGCGACTCATTACTTTCTGACTGAAAAAAAATCTGGGGAAAATCCAAAATGGGCTTCTATAAGCTTACTAGAGTCTGTGCCACATTGATGAGGGTGTCCTATAGAAATGTCGGCTATGACATGAACTGTAACAGCGTGGATGATGGGTTAATAAAGCCCATACAAAAACTGCCTCTGTGATCCTGACGCTGTTCCTTCCTTTCTCCCCTTTACTGGATCTTATCAAAAACTGTGACACATCCAAATAAAGTCAATCCAAGAGCACAAACTGCCTCTCATACTGAATATAAAACCCAAACAAGAGTTTAGAATAGTTTTCAAAAGCAATGAGAGGAGAATATTTGGATTTGATCTGGCTTTAGCTGGGGCTAATTCTCACTTGGTGTCATTTGGTTGGGGGCTGCTGGGTGTGAATAAATGGTAATTGTAGGTTTGGGCAGTCGGAGGCCCGGGCCAGATGGCCTGCTGCTTGTCTCGTGAAACTCTGCTTGCCCCCTTGGGTTTCTCCCTAAGAGACACTTTCAGTTTGCAGGATGGTGATTTGGTCAGATCAAATGTGTGTAGGCTTCTATATAATATTATTAAGCACCAAGAGTTGTGAAAAGAGAACGTCTTAATTTTTCCTTCACACCCTAACCATGTATTAATCTGGCCAAAGGATTTTCATTCATGAGACCGCTATCAAATATGAAAAATCTGTTTTGAAGGTTTTGTGTACAAATGTGGAATCATTCATCTTTGTTGAACTAGGACCCTGGAGCAACTGCATAAAACATTGTTCAAGATGTTTTTTCGCTCTGAAAATAAAAAAATAAAATTAATAGATACATTGATGCAGGTATTTTACCGTATTTCCGTGCAACGTGTTTGCCCAAAGAATTTCATAGTTTAGAGAAAAAAAAAATATATATATATATATTTACATTATTAGATTTAAAAAAAAAAGGTAGGCACATGCAGACGGACAGGTGTAAACTGACGGTTTTTCATTAGGCAACCATGATTGTGTAGTTTTGGTGAAAAGCTATCATGCTATAAAGGGTAGTCCAAAGATGCGATGATGTATCCATGAACTTGATTTGGCCTCACAGCCACTGAACGATGGGCACTTTTCTTTCCTCGTGGCATTATTATTCGGATAGGCACGATTTTGTGTTTTACGTACACATGACAAAAGAGCCCAGTTGGCACACGTTGTGAATTGCCACCATAACAATGTAAGTCTGCCACGGGTCAGTGTGTGGTTGTGCTCAAAGTGTCTGAGCCCAGAATATTTCCTCCCCTGGACCATTGTTGTGGCACACTTTTCATACTGGGGTGTCTTCTGTGTTGGGGGGTGGCAGAAGGGCAACTGGGCTACTATCAATAGTCCCTCCTGCCCTGCTTAAAGGAGGCCATTCTGGCGATTTAGGAGGAGAGGGGGCGAGGGAACGGAGGAAAGGCGGGGGGGGGGGGGGGGGGGGGTTGGGACAGAGCGCACGGAGCGGGGCGCGCAGACAAAGACTCTCTCCTTCTCGCGCTCTGTCTCTCTCTCTCTCTCTCTCTCTCTCTCGCACACAAGCTGCGTCTTTTCACCCACTCTCACTCATTCACTGGCGCAGACACACACGAGGCGACGGGCATATGTCGATATATGCAACAGATCCGTCAACAAGGACATCGCCACGGTTTGCTTTTCAGTCATTTTTATTTTCCAAAAGAGGCAGAGTCTACTTATTTATTTATCGATCTATTTATTTATTTCATTAACTGTTTTTTTTTGGTTGCAACATTGAGCAGCTGCGGAGGATTAACCATGCCAGACGTCTGAGAAAACAACTATTCCCTCCCCCTCGGATTTCCCCCTCAGTAGAAGAATTCGCCACAGTGTGCGCACAGAAGATGAGGGCAAAAATGATCCAAATCAAAGGAAACCTATTCTCTTCGGCACTATTTAAACTACTGTTTTTTGTCGCGCTTACGCGCTGCGCCGCCGGAAAGACTTTGAAATATAAAGTTTACGAGGAGCAGAAAGTGGGAACTGTTATTGCACGGTTGAAAGACGATGTTGCCGGGGTTCTATCCAGACTACCGAGTACCCTGACCTTTCGGTTCCGCGCTATGCAGCGAGGAAGCACGCCGTTCCTGTCTGTTCGTGAGGAGGACGGGGAGATCAGCATTGGCACCAAGATCGATCGTGAGAAGCTTTGTGAAAAGAACTTGAACTGCTCTATTGAATTCGACGTAGTCACACTCCCGACGGAGTTTCTGCAGCTGTTCCATGTGGAGGTGGAAGTGCTGGACATCAACGACAACTCCCCGCACTTCTCGCGCGCCATTGTCCCCATTGAGATCTCGGAGAGCGCATCCGTGGGGACGCGCATCCCGCTGGATGGCGCCGTGGATGCGGACGTCGGGGAAAACTCCCTGCACACATATGCCCTGACGCCAAATAACTTCTTTAAGATCGATGTGAGGACCAGGACCGACGGGGCCAAGTACGCAGAGCTGGTGGTGATGAGAGAATTGGACAGGGAGGTGCTGTCCAGCTACCAGCTGCAGCTCACAGCCTCGGATAACGGTTCACCACCTAAATCTGGCTCTACTTTGATCAAGATCACCATTTCGGATTCCAATGACAACAGCCCGGCCTTTGAAGAGCAAGCTTATATTATTACTTTGCTGGAAAGCTCTCCTCTAGGGACTCTAATGATTGATTTAAATGCCACAGATCCAGACGAGGGCACTAATGGGAAAATAGTCTACTCTTTCAGCAGTCATGTCTCGGCAAAGATCTTGGAAACATTTAAGATAAACCCAGAAAATGGCCACATCACTCTTATTAAAAAAGTGGACTACGAAAGCACTGCTTCCTACGAGCTGGATGTTCAGGCTCAGGACATGGGCCCAAATTCCATTCCTGGACTTTGCAAAATTGTGGTGAAAGTAGTGGATGTAAATGACAACAAACCAGAGATAAACATCAACCTGATGACGCCTGGGAAAGAAGAAGTTGCCTACATCTCAGAGGGTGCCCCAGTGGACACCTTCATAGCTCTGGTACGTGTTGACGATAGTGACGCTGGGCTCAATGGCGAGGTGGTGTGCAGGCTGCATGGACACGGACACTTCAGACTCCAAAAGACCCACGAGAAGAACTACATGATCCTCACTAATGTCACGCTGGACAGGGAGAAGAGGTCAGAGTACAGTCTGACAGTCATAGCTGAAGACAGGGGCTCCCCCAGCCTCTCCACCATCAAACACTTCACCGTTCAGGTGCTGGACGAAAATGACAATCCCCCAAGTTTTGAAAAAAGCCGCTACGAGGTCTTTAAATCGGAGAACAACTCTCCTGGGGCCTACCTGATGACTGTGGTGGCCTCAGATCCAGATCTAGGCACCAACGGCCAGGTCACCTACACCATCATGGATGCTTTGGTTCAGGGGAGCCCCATCTCCACCTACGTCACCATTGACCCTTCTAATGGCGCCATCTATGCCTTACGCAGCTTTGACCATGAAGACGTCAGCCGTATCACTTTCACCATTCAGGCACGTGACGGGGGAAACCCTGTTCTGTCAACCAACACCACTGTCCTTCTCACTGTCTTGGATGAAAATGACAACCCACCCAACATCCTCTCCCCTTCCCTTCGGAATCACACCGCTGAGCTGCCGGTGTGGAAGTATGCATCACCTGGTCAGCTCATCGCTGCGCTTAAAGTCACAGACCGCGATGCCGGCACTAATGGAGAAGTGAGCTGTGCCATTGTTGGTGGCAATGAGGATGGGTTGTTTGCGATGGACACACGTCGATGTGAGCTCAGAACTAACGGCAGCCTGGAGCAGGCTCCCCGGGACATGATGGAGATCAGGGTGGAGGTGCAAGACCGGGGGACCATTCGGTTGTCCACAGGGGCCCTCTTTAGACTCTCCCTGCAGGAAAACATGGACATCTTCCCTGCTCTCTATCCCACAGGCTCCAGCCAGGCCCCACTGGATCTCTCCCTCATCGTCATCATATCTCTAGGTGCGGTTTGCGCTCTCCTGCTCATTGTCATGGTTATGTTTGCTACTGCCCGCTGCAGCCGAGAGAAGAAAGACCCCAGAAACAATTATAACTGCCGTGTGGCAGAGAACAGCTACCAGAACCATCCCAAAAAGCCTGCTAGGCAGATCCACAAGGCAGATATCACACTGGTCCCAACCGTTAATGGGACTCTGCCTATCCGGGCCCACCCACGTTCCCCTTCAGCCTCCCCGATGCCTGAGAGGGGAACCCTTGGCAGCAGGCAGAGCCACCATAGCCGTCAGTCCCTCAACAGCCTGGTAACCATTTCCTCCAATCATGTGCCAGAGAACTTCGCCCTAGAGCTGGCCCACGCTACGCCCCCAGTGGAGGTAAGACAACTATATTTCTATGTCTAATGATTTTATTTAGTTCCATTTAGACCTAAATCCTAAAAAATACCTTAAATACATAGCTGTATTAGTTTTACGAATGGATTTGATGTCTCTTAAAACCTAAAGACATCCCACTTGCAATATTCTACTCTATTATGAACATTAAAACATTTTTTTTTCTTATATTCAGTATTTGTTTCAAATAAATTGCTCCTAATATTCCGTTACCTTCAGCTCATTGTGTCATATTTTTGTTGATCATCCCATTAAGTCAAATATATCATGCCACCAACCCCAACCCACCTATACATTGTCTTGTGGTCTTGCTTGTTTGGTTTGACTCCAATCATTTTCCCCTCATTTTTTCTTTCCTTTTTTTCTTTTTCCCTTTTGTTTCTCTTTTTTTTGGTTTCTCTTGGGATTGTAGCAAGTCTCACAGCTTCTGTCCATGCTCCATCAGGGCCAGTACCAGCCACGGCCAAGCTTCAGAGGCAACAAATACACCAGGAGCTACAGGTAACACACACACAACATTATGCTTTTAAACCTTTATTGTCAGATATCTTTTGTTAAAAAATAATGGTAACTCTATTGTGCACTTCTATATTATCATGACCACATGATTATGTCTGCTACGAGTGCTTTCTCACAGGCCCTTTAATCCATATCCAGAAACATTTGGTTTAGTGTCAAACTGTATGTCCAATAACTTCACATTTGCATAATTTTATGTAAAACCTCTTCTGCAGGGTGGTCTTTGGTTCTCTGTGCACCGTGTTATTCATCAGTAGCAGCGCATTCCCTTAGGTATTGATATTAGGCTATATTGATTCAACCGGTAACAGGTTTCTGTGGGGTATGCGTTTTTCACGTATAGCCATACGTGAATAGCCGTAACAACTGATGTTGCTCCTTGGCAGGCAGCAGAATTTATTTTCACAGCTCACTGCAGAGCGCACAGTAGTCTTAGCTAGTCGTCTTTAGCTAGTCGTCGTACGTGTATTGAGATTGAGTCATGGTTATAACTTTAGAACAATTAATAACCCACAACTTAACATAGTAAAACACCATGACAAAACAGTTTGACACAACAATTTGTAACACTAATAATTGTAAATTTATAAAATTACCCTGCTGAACTGCATTGTGGTTAGCGCTCCCCCGCCATCAAAACAAGAAGAAACTCTTTTGCTACATGAAAACAATGCAGGAGGAACAATGGGAGAGCAGAGATGCACTAACATAACGTGTGCCAAAGAGAGGAGCTATGGGCGGAGGGTTTTTGGTTCTAACAAGCTAACTCGCTGGCCAGTTGCTAGTGAGTTGTTCAGCGAGCGGTTAACAGCGGTCCTTTTTGTCGTCAATGAATGAATATGTTTACTCCCCAAATAATACTGTGGTATACGTGATACCGTCAGAATCTTAGAAACCACTGTGATATGAATTCTTTGGTCATCGCCCAGCCTTATTTGACCCCAGTGCTCTATGAGAAATATATCAAATCCATCTGCCTGTCTCTATTTGCAGATTTGCCCTGAATGAGATGGACAAGTTCAGTCTGAAGGACAGCGGTCGTGGAGACAGTGAGGCAGGGGACAGTGACTACGAGGCTGGAAGGGAGTCACCCATGGACAGGCTCCTTGGTGAGGGCTTTACTGAGATATATGCCCCTGATGGCCAGCACAGATCGCATGCAGGTACACCCCTAGTCCTCCATCCATCGCACCCCACAACCTCTCATTCATGCCCAACCATTACGCTCGTGTCTTAGCATCTACTGGTGGATCCAGAGTTCAGTCCTTTTTCAGGTTGTACAATGCATCAGATTATTAAATTGGAGCAATGATTGGAGGCCAATGACTTTCCTCATTGTTTTAATCTGCAGAACATTTGGACAAGTACTTAATTCAAATTAACGGGAGATTTTATATATGTGAGAAAAGTACTTTATACATGTAAAAAAAATAGCAGAAAAGGCTTATATCTTCTCTCAGCAACATGTTATGTGGAAACAGTTAAATATCAATGTTGCTGACAATTTGAGCAATCAACTAATTGTTCAGCTCTTAAATAGTTAGAATTGAAATAATGTATCTGTTTGTTATATTAAATTATTCTATTATAGTGTTTCACCTTCGATTATATCATTGCACCCCTGAAATCACCCCCATCTCCTGGAAATCACCCCTTTTAGTTTTGTGACCCTTTGACAGGCCACAACAGGTTGAGAAACCCATGATCTACACATAGCAAAGCTCCATATCTCACTTTATTCATCAGCTGCTTGTTAGCAAAGGACTGTTTCAGCCATTCCGGCATGTCTTTTTGCTGCATTACAAGTGGCTGGATGTTTGACAATGTTACTGAATGTATTCAACCATTGAATAGTTTCTCCTTGCCGTTTTCTGTTGTTGAGATATCTGTCTGGATGGCTCAACTAATCCTCCTTTACAGCCACCCATCTCCTCTCCCTACTGTAACACTGCATGAACGTTTCCTCCTCTCCTTAGCTGAGTTAACAAGGAAGAACTTTGAAAAGTTGTTGAACATTGTTTGACCCGTACTAACTTTAAAATATTTTACTTTCCAAAATCCCTCGTCCTCTCAGCTTGTCTTAGCTTACTTCGCACAGGTTGCAAGCTGCCGCAGCTTCTTTCATCAAGCCATCCCTCTTATCCCAGAGCTCCCGCTTCTTTTTCAGCCAGCTTCCCACACATTAATCACTTAACACTACATTTGAGCTACATCCCATTTAGAGCTGACCCAGACAGGTAGACAATCTAATCACCAAAACCTCCTGCCTCCCTTCCCTCATAGTTCTGCTCGTTAGTCACTCGTCCTTTTTCTCCACATTCGAGCCGTCACTTCCAGCCGTCCAAACTGAAGCCCTCGTCCTCCTGTGATGAAAAGGAGCCACTTAATTGCCATGTGACGAATAGTTGCCATGGAGTCGGCGCCGAGTTGCGCTCGTGATTAAGCCCTGAAGAGCATAATTATATCTCGAAGCGCACCTTTCACCCCGCCTCCCGCCCCCGTGTCCACTGCAGCATGGATGATTTTCAGCAGTATTTAGTCAGTGCCCTGTCATTAAGCCTTGATATGGTCGCCTTCCCTGCAGAAGGGACCAGTGAGGTAGAAACTATTTATTTCAGGCTTAAACAATAGATAAATTATTGTTCTTAAGAAACCATGACGAGTACGACAGTCTACTCTATATTCTGCTTTGGCTGACTTACTTATTTCTGAGAAAGTGAGACGATAAGATCAATACTTGTTCTAAAAAAAACATTTGATGGTGATACATTTTTGTTGTTATTTTTCCACGCACTGCAATTCCACACTAACATTAATATGTTGCAAATAAGTCTGTGTGGCGCTCGCAGCAGCGGGGCAGAGAGCTTAGCATAAAAACTGCAAAGGGGAAGGGGGGGGGGGGGGGACTTCTACCCTGTGAAGAGTTGAAAAATACACCCATCAGCTCCTGTAATATATATATATATATATATTACAGATATTTTACATATATATATAAAAATTAGCTAGCTGCTGGTTATCTTTCTTGACAAACCGCTTCTTGGAGTCTTGCCATCAGCTGTGGTAGCATCAAACCTGAGCAGAGACAGAAACAAACTTGAGTTGCCAACGTTAATGCAATTCAGAGATACTGCACCTTTTATGTTTCTGACAAATCAAAAAATAATAACTTTACAGTTTTGACTTGAGTTCAACCTCTTTAGACAAAGCATCTGTCTCAGGGGCTGTTTTGTCCTGGTTCCTGTCTGAATGCTAAGCTAAACTCTAAACCCCCATATTAACAGCAAAAGCACAACATTAATATAAATATTTTACTCCTGCAATAAAGGTATTTGGCTTATTAGCCCAAAATTGCAAGGCCGTGAAAACCGTTTTACTCTGGCCACATTGTTTCAAATTATTTTCATTATTTAGAAAATAACGTCACAATTGACATTTTTAAGACCAAAGAATATATGCTTGTTCTGAGGTTGTTCTTCAGAGCTATGTGTAGAAGTGGGCCTCTCCACCCCAGACTCTGATATACCGCAGTCATTGCTTTGATCAAAAGTACCCTCACTGTTGAGATCTGACCCCATTCGTTTTGCACAATCAATGAGTACTGTCACAGTGGCAGTTGTGTAGTGTTCATGAATACTATTTCTTATTGACCTTTTAGAAGGGTAAAATAAGCACTTGTATTGGTCAAAGTCAGTTCACTATTTAAGAGAGGTATGCCGACTACACAGCTTATAGAAAATAGGATATCATTCAGCCTTCGAAACAAATGTATAAATTTAAACCTGTGACAGTAATTGAGGTTATGGAGTTTGAAGATGTGAGCATTTACCAACCAAGTAGTATCCAACATAAGGCAGCATCCGGTTGCATTATCGGAAATTTGTAGTATATAGGGCTCATGGAACCCCGGCTAGGAACCAAAAGTCATGATTGCTCATCATTTGTTTCTTACATTTTGACCACTCTTATTTTTTTATTGGTCTCCTAGTGGACCACTCCAACTTACAGAACTACAATGCTAAATACTTTAAATGTTCCCTGAAACGTGTCACCACATTGTAGTCCTCAGATTCAGGTTTGCTAAAAAAAAAAATCTTCACAAAGTTCACAAAGCCATCATCGGCAACGAGTCATGTTTGTCGTTCTAAATAAACCAGCCAGAGACATTTTTGGCATGTAAATCAATTAGTAAGGCAGCTGAATTGACTTCAGTCAATCAGATAGGCAAGCTTTCACTTAGTGTTTGCCTTATATGTTCTTATTTGTTTTTACACTAAAATCTTTTGGGTTAAATCCTTCATTTTTACACTTTCATTAGAAAGGCACCCAATCTGCTCTGCCCCCGCACTCTTTCTTTCCCCCCTTTCCACTGCACCCAAATGCACTTTTCATCTGCTCTATGATGTATTATAAATGTTGCTTTCATGTTAATGAGGGGATAATGAAGTCCCTCAATAGCACGACTGAAAGCTCTGCACTCCTTTAATGAAGGCTTTAAGTTGGCATATTTGATTTGTCTAATTTATTCTTCAGAGATTTTCTATTTGAAGATTTAATATTGAAAAGAGCGACTTGAAAGGGAAAGATGCAGAGCTTTTAGAGGACGGGTTATTTTGAATCTGTAATAGGCATTGATCGGCCTCTCGGAATTGTCTCTCTGCGGTAAATACATTGGACGGTACTGTAGCAGGCACTGCTCCTGCAGAGAGCCTTCCACACTAATTAGAGCAGCCTAGCAAAAAAAATAAAAGCACCTGAGGGGAGCTGGGGGAGATAAGCTGTATGGGAGATGACTCGACTGACAGGAATCATTTTTGCATCACTCTGATTTATTATCTGATTCATAGTTGTTTTGTTGAAACATAAAACAAATACAAGATAATTTGATCTCTGAGTCTCTTCTGCAAAATTTGCCTGTATCTAATACAAACACTATCCTGTTATATATAACGGAAATTGAATTGAAGTGCTCTATGTTCTAAATGTAAACTTTTCAAAAAATGATACATTGTTAGGGTTTAAAATAGAATAGAATTCTGCCTTCCTCAGCCCATAAAGTAGAAAACATTTTTTTACTTTATCCTCTTATTTTTCTGAAAAGCGAATATATTAATATATACCCACTGTTTTCACTTCAAATTTAGTCTATGGGTTCCCACATTTTTGTGATTCTTTTGACCAACTCCTACTTGTAGTTCCAATTCACAGATTGTCACATACAACCAAACATGGGCACATAAACCTGCACGGCTCATATAATGCAGATCCGATTGCAAAACCAACCTGAGTAAACAAGGTCCAAATCAGTGCAACTACAGATGTCGTTTCAAGTGTTTAATCCATGGAAAAGATCAACACTTTCAGGTTGGAGCTTCTCAGATGTGAGGAGCGTGTGTATTCTATTACTGCTCGGTATTCCTGATTACTTACAAATATTTCTGTCTTTCTTTCTAGCTATGAGGCTTTGCACAGAGGAGTGTCGTGTCCTAGGTCACTCAGATCAGTGCTGGATGCCCCCCCTGGCCTCCCCGTCTTCGTCGTCTGACTACCGCAGCAACCTCTACATCCCTGGGGAAGAAGCCCGCCAAGCAACTGACCTCTCTCAGGAAAAGCCCCCGCAGCCCTGCACAGACAGCGGCCCCGCCCGAAACCAGAGCTTCTCTACCTTCGGCAAGGACCTAGGGGGTGAGGAAGGTGATGAAGAGGAAGGGGGAGAGGGAGGTGGGGTTGATGCCAGAGATGAGGACTTGTGTGGGACCACGTCGCTGCTGTCAGAGATGAGTAGTGTGTTCCAGCGGTTGCTCCCCCAAGGTCTAGACTCGTACATCCATGTTAACGAGAACCAGAAAGGGACCAGTCTCAGCGGAGTGGGCGTACCCATGACTGGATCTTTAGATCGCAGAAGATGCCACCTCCCTGGGAAGCCCAACCCCTCCGTCCACCAGCAAGGCGTAGCGGCCTGGGCCGCCAACACCCACTTCCAGAACCCGGGAAGCAGCATTGGGCCATCTGGCCATCACCAGGGTGGCAGCTACCACACCCTGAAACCAAGCACAAAGCTCAGCTCCCAAAGCAGCTGCCACAAGGGCTCGCAGGCACCCAAAAGCAGCCCCCAGAACAACAGCCACAACGCCAAAACCCACAGCAGCCCGATGCTCACTGCACTGGTCAGCCCCACTCTGGTGCAACCTTCCCCGGCACCGGTGCCAGCAGCGCTCCTCGGGCCCTCCTCCAAGTGGCTGCCAGCCATGGAGGAGATCCCAGAGAACTATGAGGAGGATGATTTTGACTCCGTGCTCGGCCACCTTCAAGGCAAACGTAGTGACAGCAGACACGAGCTAGTGGACGCCAGCGACCTGGTGGCTGAAATCAACAAACTCTTACAGGATGTTCGGCAAACCTAAACTTCCTGTTTCTGTTCCTCTTTATTTATTAACTACCCACAGACTGCTTTCTTTACTTTAAAAAAAAGTGAGGGACCATGGGTGGGAAAAAGGAGAGAAAAAAACAAGACCTGCAATTGTCGTTAAAGTTGCATTTCTAATGTAATAATTGTGTTTTGTGAATGCTAAATATCCCAAAAAATTGTTTGTAATTGCTGGTTTGGTACGCAATGTACTCTGTGTCACTGTATTTATCTTTGTATTTTAAAAATACATTTGTATACTTATATTTATTTAAAAAAATGTATATAAACTAAAAATAAGTCTATTTTTATATTTTGAATGCATGTTGAGTACGAAAACCTTGAATCAAGACTGACATGCGATCAACATTCTACATATTTAAATTGTCTTTTGAATTGTTATTCTCTCTTTATTTGTCACTACGATATGTATACCGGAATATATCAATGAATTAATGGACACCTGTCTTTGTGAAATATTGTTGGGAAAGGGGATGGTAAACAAATAAAAATAACAAACATTGTTCAGGTGTTTTATATTTGATTTTCACTCTGCTTCTTATGAGCAGGGAAAGAAAACTATATATATTTGGCATGTGATCTGACATGAAGACAATTTCACTCTGAAAGTAGTTAAAGTGGCTCTTCATGTCAATGAAGATCAGAATTCCTATACAGTGTCAGCATACTATTGAAAGACCGTAAGTCGTCGTTGTCCCACTGTCAGCAAAGAACAGACCATTGCAGTTGATTAAGACTGACACCTCATACTAGCAGTTGTGTTCAACACAATAATGATTCACTGAGGGGGCTATTTGCCTTGTAACCCTTTCAAAAGGCAAACCCATCAGCATCATGGACTGCATTTTGCATAACACTATAACACCATGATGTGCTTAATCTAAACTATAGAAAAATGTTGGATACTATCTAATATACTGTAGGTAATCCTGTTTGTTTTCTCTTTGACCAGTGTACTCTCAATACAATAGTTTAGTAACTCATTTCACAGCAAAGGGTTAGTTGTGTGTGCGTGTGTGTGTGTTTGCTACCACTTACCAACTGGTGAATAGCATGGAAGTTCGTAGTTGTTCCCTTTCCTTTATGATGATAAGTGAGTGATGCTGGTTTGTTTAGTAAAACTGATACTATACTAATGTCATTGAAGTATGAATACATTTAACTGATCCATACGTTTGGATTTTCTCAATGGACTCATTAAATCTTCAAAGATGATAAAAAACCGTAACCCTTCACCAAACCCATCACCAGTCTTCATCTTCACACCGGCTAATTTAAGGTTTTTATCAGTGTTAGCAGATTGTGTGACTCGCATCAGCTTGTTTGATTAAGCTTTAAGGCATTTTCCAACTGTTAAATGACTTAAGATTGTAGTCTCAGCCCAAAAAAATAGGCACACAGAGGCTCTGCAGTGCCACTTGAGTTCACAAAACAAAAGGATCAACCTTGAATGTATGGCGACTAATGGTAGAAATTTGCTGTGAAAGCAGACGAAAATAGCTGCTGTGCAGAAAGAGGAGGAGGTTTTATGGATAGATTTGCTGCAATCCCCAATGTTGTCTACATTGGGGATTTCACAACCTCCACTTGTGAAATCACCACCCTCCTCTGTTGCGTTAACGACTAGATGATGGGTGACACCTAGAGGCTTATCATAGGCACTGTAAACCAGTGACTACAGCACCCGGCCCTTACCACATCACTACTACTGCCACTCGCAGCAACAAGCCTGACATGGAGCCAGAGCAGACAACCGGACAGAGCCCCCTGGAGGACAAACCCCCACCCTGCAGCTTTCAGGGTACCGGCTGAATGGACCAGCAGACTGAGAAGGAACCGCCATGGGACACCCATATTTTCATGCAAAGCTTAAATTGTTTTTTAAATCATTAAACGAAATCACTGTATTTTGTATAATTCAAAATACATTGTAATACAGAACAGTACATTAGAGTTTACTGTTCACATCTAAATTAGGCTATAGCCTCAAATTAATTGTTGTCAGTTTTTGTTGACTGTTAACCAATTATAATTTGCTTCATATTCCACCCAAACTCACAAATCCACAAATCTTAACATGAAACAGTTTTTTATTATGATTATAGTATTAGTCACAAAACACAACATACTTTTTTGTTCCTATAGAGAAAAACAAAAGAATTAAGGAAATAAGTAAACTGTAGAAGGTTGGTAGTACTGTTTTGAACACTGTATGAATTACATTTTCTGGGGAAGTATTTATGTTGGTTTGTTCTGTATTAGAACTTTAAGGTATTATCAAACGGGGAAATGTTCACTGGTCTACAATGTTGATGTCTTCACTGTGTATAAGCACCGGGACTGTGCTAAGAGGCTTTCTGGTTTCATCAATAACGATCTCATTAGTTTGACTATGTATAACTCCAGCAGTGCTTTCTCACACTATGGTATGTTTCCATTTAGCCATGACATTGCCAAGGCCATAGATATGGGCTCCCGCCATGTCACTGTTCCTCCTCATTGCAATTTACATTTCTGCAGGCTGTAACAACTTTGGTACACAATACCACCCCAGTAATCTTCTTAGCACACCTGTTTTTGTGGAGATCAGCACACTTGAATCCTGAAGAAGAGACGGATAACACCAACTTTAACCTTTACAGGGAAGATCAAGGAATTCAACATCCTTTTTCCCCCCCTGCTGATACAAAAGGATCAGAACTCCACATAACCACCAACAAAGTGTTTCACAGTCCCGGTCATTGGCTGGATAAACCCTGTTTAAGGATAAGTTGGAAGAATCACACTTTGATTGCTACGAAGCTATCCCAAGTAAGAGGCTATTGTCAGTGTAGAGGTGTGTGTGTGTGTGTGTTTGTGTGTGTTTGTTTAAACCTTGTTTTGTTAATTGTGTATTTTCTCCTTCGAAAACAACAGCTTACAAGCAACATCTTATGATCACCCAGTGTCCTCATCCTATCAATACATAACTTTTATTTAGGTGACTCTTCCAAGCCAAAGTACATCAATTTCAGCAAAACTGTTTAACTTCTTTTTTATTTTGTAATTAAAATTTATGTCAGAACAAGTGGGTTCTCAGTCTGCGACAGAAGAGTGTAGACTTTCTGCTGTCCTCATGTCAACGGGTCGTCCTTGATAGCAAACAGTCCCATTGACTGAGTGGCGAGCCAGCTGGCAGAAGCTGCGAGGAATACACAGGCTGCGGGAGGTAGTGTGGGAGTGATAGGTAGGTGGAACACCAGCTGGGAGCTGTGTTCTGTATGAGCTGATTGAATTCATCTGAGGTTCAGTGGTTTATAATCAAATAACCAAAAACCTGATCTGGTCATTGCCTCCAAACCACTGTGGAAGGTCTCAACAAACGCAGAAATAAGTGCACTAAAGGCAGATTCAAACAGTTTGCGTGGCAACGTAAAATTTTCTTCAACATTCCCTAAGATACTGCAAACCATACAACCTTTGATCTCATTCAAAGACCCAGTAAGCAACAGTATAATACGTCTTGTAATTGCAAAACTGAAACACAAAGCACACAAAGAACAAAAAAAAGGAAAGGAACAACATTTCGCATAAAACATTATTTACCTCCAAAACATGCAAAAAACTTTAAGGCCAGCATGCTATCTTCAATCATACACAGTGTTGTTGTTGTTTTGTACAGTAAGATAAAGAAACACCTCCATAATAATGGATATTATTTCCCTTGCTTATGTGCAATAGTTTGTGCTATAGAACCAGCCGTTCTGTCACCGGCTCCACTAGTTCATATCAATGTGTCCTTGGGTAAGAACCCCAAATTGCTAGTGAAGTAAGTGCATGTATGAAAGGGTATGAATGGTACAATAGTCAGGATGTGCATGAACGGTGATGAATGGTTACATAGTCGCTATGTGTGTGTACACACCATGGACTGTTAAACCGCTTTGAGTGGTCAAAAGACTAAAGTGGTACATCTACCGTATTAGTCTGGTTTCCTGCACTGCAGACACCGACTGTAGCCGCGATGGAGCTACTACCATCGGGTTAGTCGAAGGACACACGGACACACGGGTCTACTTGGCAATATACTTAATTTTTCTTTTGCGGTGAGCAGGTTTCGACCATCTGCGCCCCCGGCCTATGGACCACCTTGAAGTTAAAAGGTTGTAGAGCCAGATACCACCGAGTAATCCGGGCATTGGTATCCTTCATACGGTGGAGCCACTGCAGCGGAGCATGGTCCGAACAGAGGGTGAATTGGCGTCCCAGGACGTAGTACCGCAGGGTTGACCGCGCAACGGATGGCCTTCTCCACCGTACTGTACCTGGTCTCTCTCTCAGATAGTTTCCGGTAGATGTAGAGGACCGGGCGGTCCACCCCCTACACCTACTGGGACAAAACGGGGGAAGGCTGCTGATGGCTGCAGTTTTGTCCACCTGAGAGCGCACCTGAAAGCGCACCTTCCCGCCGCCCCAGTGGTTCCCCAGATACCGTACCTCCCTCCGTCCAACTGCACACTTATCCGGATTGGTGGTGAGCCCGGCCTGCCTCAGGGACTCCAGCACCGCACCCACACGCCGCACGTGCTCCGCCCACGTGGTGCTGTATATGATGACGTCATTCAGGTAGGCGGTGGCATACGCAGCATGCGGACGCAGCACCCGGTCCATGGCGCGTTGGAAGGTGGCCGGGGCACCAAACAACCCAAAGGGAAGCGTGGTGAATTGGTATAATCCAAATGGAGTGGAGAAAGCCGTCTTTTGTCGGGTACGCATCAAACCGTGACACAGCATTCACCCTGCGATAGTCCACAGAGAACCTTATAGAGCCATCCTTCTTGGCGACCAGAACAATGGGGCTGCATCAGGCACTGTTGTACTCCTCTATTACCCCCATCTCCAGCATAGCAGCCAATTCTCTTTGAACAATTTTCCTCTTGTGTTCAGGTAACCTGTAGGGCCGCGACCGCACTGTCACGCCTGGGGACGTCTCAATGTGATGCACTATGAGATCCGTGCGACCTGGCAGGAGGGAAAACACACCATTAAACTCATTCTGCATGAGTGCTGTGTCTGTTTGAGTGCATGAGTGCTATGTCTGTTTGCTGGGTTGCAGAGAGATGGGCGTTGAAATGGAGCCGGGTCGGACTGGTGGACCTCTGGCCCCAGCTCCTCTCTCTCGGCTACTGCGGACACCAGGGAAACAGACTCCGCCTCCCTCCATAATTTGAGAAGGGTTAGGTCTGTGTAGCTCCACCCATGTCAGATCGCACCACCTTGTAGTCAACGTCCCCTACCCACCGTGTGACCACAAAGGGCCCTTGCCACTTGGCTAGTAGTTTTGAGCTAGACGATGGAAGCAATATAAGTATTTTTTCTCCCGTGTAAATTGCCTCAGCTTGGCCCCTCTGTTGTACAGCTGTTGTTTACGCTCCTCGGCCTGGAGAAAATTCTCACGTGACAACTCACCCAGTGTGTGGAGTTTGGCTCGCAGGTCTAGGACGTACTGAATATCGTTCTTACCAG